TCGAAGAAGCGATGATTCAATTAGGCGCGCAATGCAAATTCTTTTTTTCAAGGGTGAAGGTGTGATGATTCAAAGAGGGCGGGCGGATGTTCGAAGTGATGATGCGAGTAGAGGCGCAGTTAAAGCTTGTTGCAAAATGTACTAAGTAGCGGGGGGGTGGGGGGGGCGGCAGCCCCCCCCATGATGCTCGAAGAAGTGATGATTCAGATAGGCGTGCAATGCAACCTAGGTGGAACATCAAGCCGGGGGGGATTCAAAGAGGGCGGGCGGATGTTCGAAGTGATGCTTGTTGCCAAATGTACTCAGTAGCGGGGGGGTTGAGGGGGGCGGCAGCCCCCCCCATGATGCTCGAAGAAGAGCTTGTTGCCAAATGTACTAAGTAGCGGGTTGGGGGGGGGCGGCAGCCCCCCCCATGATGCTCGAAGAAGCGATGATTCAAATCGGCGTGCAATGCAACCTAGGTGGAACATCAAGGAGTGATGATTCAAAGAGGGCGGGCGGATGTTCGAAGTGATGCTTGTTGCCAAATGTACTCAGTAGCGGGGGGGTTGAGGGGGGCGGCAGCCCCCCCCATGATGCTCGAAGAAGAGCTTGTTGCCAAATGTACTAAGTAGCGGGTTGGGGGGGGGCGGCAGCCCCCCCCATGATGCTCGAAGAAGCGATGATTCAAATCGGCGTGCAATGCAACCTAGGTGGAACATCAAGGAGTGATGATTCAAAGAGGGCGGGCGGATGTTCGGAGAAATGATATCGAAGCAGGGGCGCAGCTAAATCTTGTTGCCAAATGTACCAAGTAGCGGGGGTTGGGGGCGGCAGCCCCCCCATGATGCTCGAAAGAAGAGCTTGTTGCAAATGTACTAAGTAGCTTTTCAGGCAAGCCCGGAAAGTGGTGACCGGAAATGGAAATGGAAGGGGGTGGTGGTGGGTGTTGCGTGGGTAGATGGTGTGGGGGGGGGGGGTGGTGGTGTGTGATCATAGATGGGGCGGGGGGGGGGGGGGGGGTGGTGGTTCTAGCAAGGGAAAAGATGGTGGGGGGAAAGTTAGGGGGGGGGGGGGGGGGGGGGGTGGTGGTTCTGGCAAAGGAAAGATGTGGTGGGGGGGGGGGGGGGGGGGGGGGGGGGGGGTAGTGGTTCTAGTGAAGGAAAAGATGTGCAGGGGGGGGGGGTGGTGGTGGTGGCGGCGAAGGGGTTGGGGTTAGACATTGAGGTGAGTCAAAGGTAAGAAGGGGGGGGGGGGTGGTGGTGGTGACTGGAAGCAACGCAGCGAGAGGGGGGGGGGGGGGAGGGGGGGGGTGGGGGGGAGGGGGGGGGGGGGGGGGGGGGGGGGGGGGGGGGGGGGGGGGGGGGGGGGGGGGGGGGGGGGGGTGGTGGTGCTGACGCCTGACCTTCGTGGTGATCACGCCTGAAAAACAGGAACTCTCGTGGATCCCAGATACCACCATAGGTACCCTAGCATTTTTTCTTTTGGCTGAAGTGTGGTTCCTTTGCTAGGTCACCCAGTAGTGCCCTTCTCTCCCCTTTTTTGGGGAGGGTTCCCCTACTAAAATTGATTGCAGAAGAAAGGGTCTAACCTCTCTACTGGAGAACCTAGTTTGAAAATGGACTTGGCGTCAGATGTCCACAGACTTAGCTCGGCCCAGGAGCTCGTGTTCATGGCTCCGGTAGGACGGCTCAAAGGAGCCGTCGCACTGCGCGGGCCGCGGCTGGACTGGCGACGGCATTTTTTGCTCCTACGGACCCTGTTTCAGCAGCCCTGGGAAGTAAAAAGAAGAAAACAAGCACCTCTACTCCTCCTTTTCAGGTGTATTGCAAAGGGAATCAAAGCAAAAGGGCACCGCCCATTTTTGTGTGTTGTTTTTGTTTTTTGTTTGGGGGTCCCCTAAAAAGACAAAACCATATGGAGGGGATCCAGGCTTCGGAATTGTAAACAGACTGGCCGCGCGCACTTGAGACGTTTGGATCCATGAGCTAGGCCAACCAGGAGTGATCAGAAGCAAGGCACAGGAATGTATCAAATTGCTTCCCTTGGAACCACCCGGAAAAAGAAAGGCCACTCAAAATGCACTCTGAGCACCGGGAGAATCTTGCCGCAGCGGTTTTGGTTACCTATTTTCGGTTTCGGATCGTAGTGGTGCATCTTCACCTGGGTGTGTGTGTGTGTGTGTGTTTTTTGAGGGTACCTTTGTTTTGGTGGCTTCGAAGGGAAGTAACAAGGACCCCCCCCTTTTTGGGGGTCCCCGATCTTGAGACAACCCCACATGCCGCAACATTGCCAGCGCCAGATTCTGGCGGAGTCGGCCCGCGCCGCTTAGACTTTGGATTGCCTACGCAGCCAGGAGGCGTTGGTTGGCACTCAAACCTGGTCACTGCCAGTTTTTCCGTCCCGGCTCAGCCGTTGAAGGATGACCTTCACTCTCCATGCCCAGTAGTCAGCCGCGTCAGAACCCAGCAGTCCCAACTAGAATGGGTGCGGCCGCCCTGTTCATCGGTTTTGCGATATTTTGGGTAGAGTGTTTGACAAGGTGCCAGGTGTTGGTGGCGCAGCTTGAGACTGACGGGGTCATGTTCTTTCTGCCTGATCTTCGGACTTTAACTTTTTGGGAAACTGTGGATTTCCGTTGGAACCACACAAAGTCAAACTTTTTGGAAGAGAGAGGAGTCCACAGCAACCGGTAAAGCAACAAACACGAACGCAAATGTGTAAGTTGTGTATAGAGAATAGTGCAACAAGCATCCGTTTTTGTTCATCCGTACTCCGCAAAAGGCGCCTTGTGCACTTTGCTAAGAGACACGTGCAATGACGGCCGGCACAAGGTGCAAGGATTTTGCCAACTATGGATAATCAGTGTCGACTGTTTTGTTCTTTGTTCATCCGCATTTTGCAGTTCTAAAGGGTGACGTCCGGGGCCGGGGTTTACCGGTTCGGGGGCAGTTGGGCCACCCAAAGTTGGTTGCTGTTGCCTTCCCTCTTCGCACGACATAAAAGCTTAAGAACAAACTGGGAAAAGCGAATTGGGAACCAACCCTCAAATGTTCCAATGGACTGAAGGTCACTCTTGCAGCTGGACCTGGTCCCGAAATTCGGAAGGGGTCTACGAAATTCGGAAGGGTCGCCTAGAAATTCGGAAGGGGTCGCCTCTTTGGCCCCCGTGCATTGCTGAGCAGGAGGTGATGAACAAACTCAATTCACACGCAAGGATGGGCATTCGCCGGAGGGTGACGATCATTACCGAACACCCGTGCAGATAGCACAAAACATGGCGCACAAAGCCACATTCATAGAATTAATGAACAGTTGTGGTGTTCTACTCGAAGCAAGCAAGCTTGCCAATTCCGCCGTATGTATCGGGGTCCGGAGCACGCTTCTGACAAGCGGCAAGCTATGTTTTGTTTCTGCAAAAGAACCACCAGAACAACATATGGGTCTGTTTTTTTTTGGGGACCCCCCAAAATCCTGAAAGTGTTCTCCTTCAAAGCCACCAAGAAAGGGGTACCAAGTCCAAAACAGACACCCTCCCCCACATATTTCGAGAAAGGTTTGGACATCCATCCTTCTTGAATGCTTTCCTGCTCAGCTCCTCGTTGGCCTCGGCCTTTGCCCAGCGATTTTGGACGTGAAACTTCAGAAAAGAACTAAAAGGTACCTCGAAGAAGAAAGACCTCCTCCTGAAGCCACCATTTCCCTGGGTGCAAGGCAACATGGGGAGGGCGCTTGGATTCAACGGGTCCCGGCCGTTTGGCTTCTTAGGTTTTTAGGGTTTGAGTTGGTTTGTGGGTTTCCATTTATCCACAAAAAACACAACATCAATTTTTAGCAGATCTGAAAACAGACAGCTCAGTTAAGAGGACCCCTTGTGAAACAACCCATTTGGATTTCGCTTGGCGATGGCCAATGGCCGGCGTAGACTTCGTAGACCAGCCAGCGAGTGAGGTTGCCACATACCGGTGGTCCCTGGCCACATTGGGTCTTGCAAGAGCTTTGCCGAAATAGACATGTTTGGGCAGAATTGGGTATCTTGGTGGCTCCCAGCCAGCATTTTAGCCTTTTAGTGTTTAGTGATAGTTTCCATTTAACCCACTAAAAGTTACACTTTTAGCGGGGGATCTGAGGGCACCCCAGTTATGGTTTTTCCATATTTTGCATATCAGACGAAGATGTGAGTTGCAACAAGTGCCCGAGGCGTTGCGCGTATGACGTGGCTTCGAGTTGTAACATGCTGGCCTGGATAGACTGATGACTGTTCACCTGGGCTCTGAGTGCAGATGACCAGTCCAACTACAGATAATAGATACACTCCCAACAGCTAACATGGAAGTGCACAGACGGACCCCTGCAGAAAGACAACTTTCCTCTTGGAAAGGGCCTTTTTGCACTTCCATGTTGGTAGGTGGGAGGGTAATCGGGGGGTGGCTTAGCAGGACCGAACAAACTGTGTGCAAGGTGATGTAAACAAATATCGCACACGGATGCAGGTTGCACCATGTTGCATAAAGCACACGCGGATGCTGGCCGCACCGTGTTTGATACTGTCTAGCCACCCTCTCGTATTGATAATACTAGAATTCGAGCCAATGAGATCTGGCATGCAAAAGATGCTGGCTGAAGCAAGTCATGAAGGCTACTCTTTCAGGCAGCGTGCCGTCAGAGGAACCTTCGTCTGGCTCAGACAGGTGGCAGCTAAGTTCAGTTCTTTGGATGACATGCAAGCTTTAGCCCATAATGTTGACCCAGGATCAATAAACCCGTCCCATTATTAGGGGGGTGTTCCCACCAAAAGTGGTCTGAATGCCCACTAAAAGGGGACACCCGCCAATAAAAATCAACCAGGGATTCATTCATCTAGGGCTAACATTGCTGCTTCTACCTGCAGTCTCCATGACCCTTTAAGAATAGGTCCATGACCCCATTATTTAGGGTAATGACCCAATTTTTAAGGTGTCATGGAACCCTGGTAAATAACTCATCTCGTAGATGCTTGGCTCGCTTGGGTGCGCGCCGAGGTGGTTTGCCTGGGTATGCATACTTTCATCGCCGGGACTCCTGCCAGGGTGCAAGCCTCAGCCGATTGGAACATCGTCGGGTGGAATCGAAGTCTGAGCTTCGAGATGATCAAAACAGAAGGGACCACCCGGGAAACACCATGGTTGTTGTTGGGAAACATTGTAGATTGTTGCTTATTATCATTTGGTGGAAAATCCCCACTGAACTGCTAAAATGTAAATGGTTGCTCCCCTTCCAACGTCAACCAAGACATGTTCCCGTGCTGAGCTCCCTCAAGAAGCTTCAAGCAGATCAAAAGATGATCAGAATAAATTTGTTTGACGGATCTTTTGGTTCCCCTTTTGCCAAGAAGACGTATTAGGCGCCATTGCACGCCAGGGTCTTAGCCCCAGACACAGACGAGCGCAGATGGGAAAATAGATCCCTGGTTTGGACCAGTTTGTTCTAAAGGGGACCTAGGTCCCCCAGTAGTGCCCTTTTGCACTTTTTTTGGGCCTACCAAAATAGACTACAGAAAAAAAAGGGTACCCTTATTTTAACCTCTCTACGGAGGACAGGGGACCTTGTGGTGAATCCCGTGCGAGTGCACGGGAGAGCACCAAACCAGCCTCACTTGGAGGCAAAACGCTCTTATCGTT